GTATCTAACTCAGGTTGTCAAGCTTGCACGGCTATCACTTATACTTTCTGAGCTTTCTTAGTTAGGGTTTCTATTGCTATGAAGAGACACCATGACCACAGCAACTCTTATAAAGGAAAACATTTAATTGCACCTGGCTTACAGTTTCAGAGGTTTAGTCCATTATCATCATGACAGGAAGCATGACAGCATGTAGTCAGTCATGGTGTTGGAGAGGTAGCTGAGAGTTCTATATCTTGACCCACAGGCAACAGGAAGTGAACTGTGTCCCACACTGGGCATAGCTTGAACATAAGAGACCCCCAAGCCCACCCCTACAGTAACACACTTCCTCCAACAAGGCCACACCTCCCAATAGTGCCACTCTCCATAGGTCAAGCATTCAAACACATGAGTCTATTGGGGCCATATCTATCCAAACCACCACATTCCATTCCCTGTTCTCCATAGGCTTATAAATTGTATCATAATACAAAATGCATTTAGTCCAACTTCAAAAGTCCCTACACTCTATCACAGTCTCAACAGTGTTAAAAGTCTAAAGTTAAAAAGTCTCTTCTGAGATTCCTGTGGTTTCTTAACTGTAATCCCCTATAAAGTCAAAATAAAAAAACAGATCGCATACTCAAACATATAATGGCACAGGATATACATTACCATTCCAAAATGTAGGAAGGGGAGGATAGTGAAGAAATACTGAGCCAAAGCAAAGCCGAAAACCAGCTGGGAAAACTCCAAACTGTATCTTTGTGTCTGATGTCAAAATGCTCTTCAGATTTCCAACTTCTTTTGTCTTTGTTGACTGTAACATACTTTTTCTTGGGCTGGTTCCACTCCCTGTTAGCAGCTCTCCTCAGCAGGTATCCCACGACTCTGGCATCTCCAACATCTTGGGGTCTCCAAGGCAATACAGGCTTTAACTTCATAGCTTCACACAGTGGCCTCTCTAGGCCTCCATTCAGGGACACCCCTGATACATGGGTGGCCTCAGCAGCTTTTCTTAGTTGCAAAGGGAGATTCTATAACCCCTTTCTTCTATCCTTGACGCTAAAGCCAGAACCACGTGGCCTAAACTGCCAAGTTCTGCTGCTTGCTGGAGCTGGAACATAGTCCCCATGTTCAATTACATCTTCACCAGCTTTCTGTTTTCGATGGTTTACTTCACTGCCTAAGCTTGGCTGTTCTGGAATTTGTTCTGTAGACCAGGCTGGCCTCAAACTCAGAGATCCACCAACCTCTGCATTCTGGGTACTGGGATTAAAAGTGTGTACCCCCATGCCTAGACCTTGTAGGAGGAAGTTTAGGGTGGGCTTTGAGATATCCTTTGTTCAAGCTATGCTCAGTGTGACATACAGTTGCTTCTTCTACCTTTGGATCAAAATGTAGAACTCTCAGCTCCTTCTCCAGCATCATTTCTGCCTGCATGCCACCGTGTCCCACCATGATAATGATGGACTAAACATCTGAAACTGTAATTAAATGTTTTCCTTTATAAGAGTTGCTGTGGTCCTGGTGTCTCTTCTCAGCAATAGAAACTAGCTAAGACATACCCTCAGCACCACTGTCTTCCATGTTCCTACTAGAATGGTCCATTAAGCTCCACTTAAAACATTCAACTACTTTTCTAATCCAAACTCACAAAGTGCACAGTCCTCTGAACAAAAGCATGGTCAGGCCTATAACAGCAATACTTTAGTTCCTGGTACCAACTTCTGTCTTAGTGTCTTAGTTAGGGTTTCTCCTTTACCAGTTTTTATATGTACTCACTTGTCTGTATATAAGAGTGTGCATAGGCTTTGTGTTTTGCATTGTTCTATGTTTTACATTGAAATCAATGATAAATTTTGAGTTAATTTTTGTATTAGGGCATGGCTAATTTTTTGGCTTATGAATATTCATTAATTGAAGTGCCATTTGTTTAAAACACTATACTCTTTGTCTTAAGATTTAGAAAAATCTTGCTTTTGCTGCTAAGTTTGTAAGTATGTAAATATTTGGTGAGCTGAAGATCAAACCCAGAGCCTCATACATAAAAAATATTTCATTAAATTTTAGAGATGATTTGTGGGGAGAGTTGGCATCTTTACATGAACTCTTCTAGTCCATGAACAGTTAGTTACCTTATGGGTTTGTGTCTCTCTGAAATGCATCTTATGTTGGAGTCTTAAACCTAGTGCCTCACATTGTGACTACAAAAATAGGATCATTCCAGATGTAATTAGGATGAAGTAATACTGAAGTACAGGGCCTCTTAATGTGATAGGACTAGTCCTCTTAGATAAAAGGGGAATTTGGGCATAGAGAAAGACACACCTCCAAGAAAAATGATAACGCTTAGGGTTTCTATTGCTGTGATGAAACATCATGACCATAAAGCAAGTTGGAGAAGAAAGGGTTTATTCAGCTTACACTTCAACATTGCTGTTCATCACTGAAGAAAGTCAGAACAGGAAAGTCAGAACTAAAACAGGACAGGATCCTGGAGGCAGGAGCTGATGTGGAGGCCACGAAGGGATGCTGCTTATTAGCTTGCTTCCTCTGACTTGCTTAGCCTGCTTTCCTACAGAACCTAGGACCACCAGCCCAGGGATTACACTACCCACCATGGACTGGGCCTTCCCAAATTGATCGTTAATTGAGAAAATGCCTTACAGCTGGATCTCATGGAGGCATTTCCTCAACTGAGGCTCCTTTCTCTCTGATGACTCTAGCTTGTGTCAGGTTGACACACAAAACCACAAAAACTCTACTACAGTAGAGTGGGGAGAGTGCTGAGTGAAGTGACCCTGCAACCTAAAAAACTACCGAAGTAGAGAGTTCTGGGACAGGTTGTTCTCTGTGCCTTTAGATGTGGTCCCACTAACACCCTAATCTCAGACTAAGAGTTCCAGAACCAGAGATAGTGAAATTCTGTTGCTTAAGCCACTCTATTTATATCTCCATATATTTGGATCATCTCAGTTTCTCTCATCATTTTAATTTTCAGTTAAATACTATGCATGTGTTGTGGGCTTATACTCAATATTTTATTCATTGTTTTTGAGACAATGTCTTGAACTGACCTTGAACTAATCTTCCCGCCTTAGTCTCCCATGTGCTGTAATTCTAGGCTTCTATCACTACACCTGGCACTTTTTGTGTGTGTGTGATTGTAAATATATTGTTTTTATTTGAGGTTCTGTTCACACTGTGCTTTCCTCTCCCATCTTGCCTTCTATGTTAATTCTTTTTTCCATTTCTGTTACTTTGTTGTTGTCTATTCTTGTAGTGCTTACCTTAAAAATTACAAGTCTTTTGATTTACAATATCCTAATAAAATAATTACTTCAACTACTCCTGACTCAACTTTTCCATTTTATTGTTATACATATTTATTTTAAATATATATGTATTTTTGTCAGGGTAAAGTATTAATGTATTTCCATACACTCATTCCTTTTGTTGCTCTTTCTTTTACATTTTCATTTTTCTCAGTTCCTTAGCACCAGCATAGGCAGCTTGATTCTCAACCTCTTGCCGTACTCCCACGTTCAGCCAGTGCCTTCATGGGAACATGGCTGCCCTCTCATGCCATGTGGCCACATCCCCTGCTATTTGAGCTCATGGTCCTTAGTACTTTTTCATGAGTAGTTCTTCAGCAGCTTAAATGGGTAGCTTAAAACTTTCTCTTTTAAGTTCTTCATGGAAGCTATCATAATTGGAAGTGATTGTTGATTGTTATATATTAGTTACATATGCTTTACAGTTAGTTTCTTTGGCATTGATTTAACTGACTCTTGGTTTTCTGATTATACTGTATATAGAAATAATCGTTCTTACTCGTTATATAAACCAGTGGTGAGAGTATAACCAGTTCACAATCAACTGTAGCTCAATTTATTTTACAAACAACTGGAAAAATATTCAATAGTTGGAAATCTAGGTGTACTTTTGGGGGGAATATTTAATCAGTTCCTCTGGTTACAGTAGGTATCTTAGACTAGTTTTATGTTTGGGTCCATGAGTTTTCTTTTCATTAACTTAGTATCAAATTATAGCATTAGCTGCATTTACAACATTTGATTTTAGTTTAAATAATTGTGTGGAAGTTTGTTTGTTTGTTTTATGTTTAGGGAAAAAAAGAATTGATCAGCAGAAGGTGAGAGACCTTTTGTCAACCAGAACACTCTTTACTGTGTGCAATTATGGAGAGGCCTTTCCTACTTCTATCCTTTACAGTGTAACTACCTGTCTTCTCTCTTCTACCCTTCCCAGAACCCCTTGCTGCTGCTAATTCACTCTTTTTGATAGGTGTTAATTAAAATACATAAAAGGAAATTAAAGCCAGGCGGTGGTGGTGCAAGCCTTTTATCCCAGCACTCAGGAGGCAGGCAGATCTCTGTGAGTTCGAGGCCAGCCTGGTCTCCAAAGTGAGTTCCAGGAAAGGTGCAAAGCTACACAGAGAAACCCTGTCTCGAGAAAGCAAAAATAAATAAATAAATAAATAAATAAATAAATAAATAAATAAATAAATAAATAAATAAAGGAAATTAAAACCCTTACAGTCCTACCACCAAATAATAAAACTGTAATCATTCTTGAGCTTTAGTGAGTATCTTGTATATTTTTTTCTTTTTCCTATATTAAATGGATTATATTATTAGTAATTCCAACCTACTTCTTCATTAATATTACCTGTAACACTTAAATTTGTACAAGGATTTATCAGTTTTGTCATAGTCCTTGGATTTAACCAAATTAGACTCTTGAGAAGTAGCTCAGGGAGCATTTTATCTGTCTATCTATCTATCTATCTATCTATCTATCTATCTATCTATCTGTTTTTTTTTTTGAGACAGGGTTTTTCTGTGTAGCTTGCATTTTATTTTTTTAAAATCTTAGAGATATTAATAGCCTTGAAATTTTTTAAAAGATTAGTAAAAAAGAAACTCAGGTTATTAACAAACACTCAACTTATCTAAAGCCCTTTATCTAATTATTCAATTTTAACTTTTTCCTAGCCATTCCATCCTATGGTGAATCTGGACTGTTCTCGGGATTTTCGGCCATTTCTTTGTGCACTCTATGCCCCTATTTGTATGGAATATGGACGTGTCACACTGCCCTGTCGTAGGCTATGTCAGCGTGCCTATAGCGAGTGTTCAAAGCTCATGGAGATGTTTGGTGTTCCTTGGCCTGAAGATATGGAATGCAGTAGGTATGGGTACTTTTTATGCTGACATGTGTCTTCTCTTTCGTCTATAAAGAACAGGGTTGTTGGTTTTTTTTTTTAATGTATGGATGTGTATACAAATGTTGAGCACTGTTTCATGGTCTTATTTTTTTGTAGGAATTGAGAAGAAGTAAATGAAAAAGATATGAAGAAATTTAAAAAAATTTAAGAATTACATAAACAAGACATTTGGTTGATTTGCTTTTCTACCTTTAAAACACATTTCTGTTTTTATAAGTAATGCTATTCATGAAAAATTAGAAGCTGAGTGGTGGTGGCACACACCTTTAATCCCATCACTTAGGAGACAGGTGGATCTCCAAGGCCAGCCTAGTCTACAGAATGAGTTCCAGTCTTTGGCAGCAGTTAACTCTGCAGCTCACACAGGATTGAGCCTGCATGATAATGAGTATTCAGAGATGGGTAATGCCTGGGGGGCGCTCACCAACCTAAGACAGAGCGCCTGTGTGGCCTGGGCAGGTGTCTCCATGACAGGTAAGGTGACCTGCTGACGTCCCACACAACCTAAGTCAGAAGCTCATTTATTAGTAAAAGGGGGACCTGTAGGGCCCTGGCCCCTGTTTTGGGTAACTGTTGCCTTGCTTGCTGACCTTGACCTTGATATCCTCCCTATGCTAATTCCCTTCCGGGTTCCACCCTCCTGAATGTTTAAGGGAAGTTCCTTGTCTGTGTATCCTGCATAATGGACGTTAACAGCTTAGATGCAAGATTGTAAAACATCGGGTAGCGAACTTCTGCCCTCTGGGGTTCTCCCATTGTGCTGTAAGCCTGTATTTAAGACCTCTCTCCTTCAATAAACGGCATTTGGCATTAAAAAAAAAAAAAAAGAAAAAACCAGAATGAGTTCCAGGACTATAGAGATAAAATCTGCCTAAAAGAAAAAGAAAGAAAGAAAGAAAATATAGATAAGAAAATAATTATGCCGGGCAGTAGTGGCACACGCCTTTAGTCCCAGCACTTGGGAGGCAGAGGCAGGTGGATCTCTGTGAGTTTGAGGCCAGCCTGGTCTACAGAGAGAGTCCCAGGACAGGGTCCAAAGCTACATAGAGAAACCTTGTCTCAAAAAAAAGAAAAGAAAATGCTTACTCATGATTCTCATTATAGCAGCCTAAATGCCTTTGATATAGATGTGTGGATATCTAAGGCTGTTGTGTCAATTTTGTTTTTTTGACTTTTTTCCTATCACATATTCCCTATCACATAACACCCAGTTGAGAAAATGTTGGGTGCTTTTCAAGTCTCATCTAACACACAGATTGCGAGCTGTTACAGAAGACTGAAAGATTTGTTGAGCACACATTCCTGTAGTTTTGTAGGAGTGAGCACCATTAATAGTAATAATATAGTATGTTATATAATACGCCTTTTTATTTTCTGAACTATTCCAGAGATAGGGAATAAAGGAATACTTATGTACTCATAATGATCTGCCTTTTTCCTGTCTCAACATTTTGTAATGTTTGTCTTCAGATCTTCTTTTAAGAAATAAAACACTGTAGATACAAGCTGAGCATGGTAGCATATATTTGTAATCCCAGCATTTGGGAAGCTGAAGCAGGAGGATTGTGAGTTTGAGGCCAGCCTAGGCTACATATTAAGACCCTGTCTGGAGTGAGGTAGGGTGGGGTTGGGGGCTCTATAGTACAGCTGCATGTTTTGTTGTTCCTTGTCTTGCTCGAATTCCCTTCTTTCTCCCCAAGGTAAGGTAAATATCATTAATTATGTCATGCTTGATTTTATACATATATATATTCATGAACAAAATGTTTTCCCTTATCTGTGTGTGCGTGTTTCATTTTTTTTTAAAATTACCAATTAACATTTAATATCTGATAGGTAATTGTGTTAATATCCTATAATTATTTACCTGTCTGATATTGTTAATCATTTAGGTTGCTCCATGGTTTTCATTAGAAACTATTTATTTCTCCTTTAAAATACTTATGACTGTGATCTGGCAGTTGTTGGTAGAGGAATATACCATGTCCTCTCATGACAGAAGGGTGAGAAAACAAAAGATCAATCTCTCTCTGAAGCCCAATTCATGAGGGCTTTGCCTTTGTAAGTAATACTACCACAGTGAGGACTGAGTTTCAGCACATGAGATTTGGGGGCATTCAGACCATAGCACTCATTCTTCAACTTCATGGACATCCTTGGTTTCTTCCCCAGCCTGTTTATTTATTTTTTCATCATTTAGTATAAACTTTGTTATCTATCACTTGAAATAATACTTTTGTTGATAATTTCATTTTATTCTTTCTTTTGTACTTGTTCAGATCTCCAAATGGATTGCTCTAACCCATTTCTTATAAATTAGTTGTCAAACCATAGCTGTTGTTATTTGTAGCTACTTGACCTGGTAAAGAAATTTTCTCTTGTTCCCCTCTGCACCTTTGCTGATAGAATTTTAGATCCAAAAGAACAGGGACTTTGTTCTATTCACTACTTGTCTTCAGCATCTAGAAGAGTCTGGCACACTGAAGACACTTAATATTTATTGAACTTATGCCTGTTAAATATATTCATGTAATTCAGCCTAAGTAATCTAAGGTAGCAGAGAGTAATTCAAGTTGAGCAAAAATGCATGCAGAGAGATCAGTTGGAACATGATTAATACACTTTAAAAATCAAAGCAGAGCCAGATGAGGTAGTGAGACTGGACAGACCTGAAGGTAGTCAGAGGACAGCAGCAGAGTCCCTAATAATTGGATGTAGGGATTGAGTTTATAGAAACTGAACAAAGATAACTTGCAGAGAACTAAGAAAACAAAAGAAACTGTAGACATATTGAAATTGAGACAGATTTAAAGGTTAAGATTCTGGCATCTATTTAAACTTACATCTCACCTTTATTTCCTTCCCCCACAGCATGCCCTCCTTTCGTACGTCTTTAGAACATCGTATCTGAGCTACAGTGCTCTGCTGTGTCAGACCAGTCAGTCTTGTTTCCTTCTCAGATCCTCCTCCTGGGTGTCCCTTGTGTTACGGTTCTTCACAGAGTTCAGTTCTTGCTTTCTTTGATACTTTCTCTGGAGCCTCACAAAGCAAATCTCAGCAAAATAGGCAAATTGAAATAATGACTTGTGTTCTATCTGATTACAATGAATAAAGCTGGAAGTCAGCACCTTAGAGAGACTGTGAAATACAGACTCAGGCAGATTAAACAACAACACATTATAGAATGATGATGAATGGGTCATTGAAGAAATCAAGAAGGAATTTATTTATTTATTTATTTATTTATTTATTTGTTTGTTTGTTTGTTTGTTTGTTTTTTGAGACAGGGTTCCTCTGTATAGCCCTGGCTGGCCTGGAACTTGTTTTGTAGACCAGGCTGGTCTTGAACTCACAGAGATCCACCTGCCTCTGCCTCCTGAGTGCTGGGATTAAAGATGTGCATCACTGCCCAGCAAAAAAACTTTTTTTAATGTCTGGAGTCAAATGAAAATGAAAAGTCAGCACACCAAAATCTATGGGATACAATGAAAGCAGTCCTAAGAGGGACATTTATAGCTTTCTGAAATACAATTTGTGGTGATTGGTAAATAGAATTTTCTTTTTAAAATGTTCTTAATTTTATGCACATCTGTGTTCTGAAATAACTAAATTATAAAATACAGTGGGCTTGAAAGAAGTTGTCAGGATAGTGGGAAAAGCTAGGTGACATTAAAGACCTCAGATGCCCTTTAGTTACCCAGTAACGTAAGTAGAGCCTGGGCTAGGGGTATCCAGAGTGTTTGCTCAGCAGCCATAAAAGCCCTAGGTTCTAAACCCAGCATTGCCTCCCCCGAAGATAGAGAGTGCACATGAGACTTAAATGTCATTTGTGAGGTTATTACTAATCAGGCTCACGGTGCCTTGGACCATGCATTTAAGGAAGATTTTTAAATCTTAAATTTGAACTTTTGTCTACTGTTTTTCTGACACAGTATAATTGCGCGCGCGCGCACACACACACACACACACACACACACACACACACACACACTTCACATTTGGAAACCATAAAAACTGTACTAAATAAATAGTCCACATTATGTTGTTTATTATTGATGGCTGGTTTCACTGTTTTAATGGAGTGCTGATTTTGAAGATAAAACAAATTTAAAGACTGTCATTTAAAATCTGCTTGAAGCCTCCCCATAATATGCCATTATCTTTTGGGGTTTTTTTTTTTTTGAAGATTTTTTTAAAAATATAGTTTATTTTTATTTTATGTTCATTGGTATTTTGCTTACATGTATGTCTGTGTGATGATGTCAGAAACCCTGGAACTGGAGTTACAGACAGTTATGAGTTGCCATGTGGGTCCTGGATATTGAACACGTGTGCTCTGGAAGTGCAGGCAATGCTCTTAACTGCTGAGCCATCTCTCCAGACTCCCATTTTTAAATTTCTTATTTATCCCTAGTAATAGAAATAGATGAGGTCACAGATGCTAAATTTAGAATTTGAAATTGCTAAGTAACAGCAGACTTACCTGGAAGTAAATATGGTTATCGTCTTTTATTTTTTAGGTTTCCAGATTGTGATGAGCCATATCCCCGACTTGTGGATTTGAATTTGGTTGGAGATCCAACTGAAGGTGCCCCAGTTGCAGTGCAGAGGGATTATGGCTTTTGGTGTCCCCGAGAGTTGAAAATTGATCCTGACCTTGGCTATTCCTTTTTGCACGTGCGAGATTGTTCACCACCATGTCCCAATATGTACTTTAGGAGAGAAGAACTGTCATTTGCTCGCTATTTCATAGGACTGATTTCAATCATTTGCCTCTCTGCCACGTTGTTTACTTTTTTAACCTTTTTGATTGACGTCACAAGATTCCGTTACCCTGAAAGGCCTATCATATTTTATGCAGTCTGCTACATGATGGTGTCATTGATTTTCTTCATTGGCTTTTTGCTTGAGGACCGAGTAGCCTGCAATGCATCTAGCCCTGCACAGTATAAGGCTTCCACAGTGACACAAGGATCTCACAATAAAGCCTGTACCATGCTTTTTATGGTACTCTATTTTTTCACTATGGCTGGCAGTGTATGGTGGGTAATTCTTACCATCACATGGTTTTTAGCAGCTGTGCCAAAGTGGGGTAGTGAAGCTATTGAGAAGAAAGCATTGCTGTTTCATGCCAGTGCCTGGGGCATCCCTGGAACTCTAACTATCATCCTTTTAGCGATGAATAAAATTGAAGGTGACAATATTAGTGGCGTGTGTTTTGTCGGCCTCTACGATGTTGATGCGTTAAGATATTTTGTTCTCGCTCCCCTCTGCCTATATGTGGTAGTTGGAGTTTCTCTCCTCTTAGCCGGCATTATATCCCTAAACAGAGTTCGTATTGAGATCCCATTAGAAAAGGAAAACCAAGATAAGTTAGTGAAATTCATGATCCGGATTGGTGTTTTCAGCATTCTTTACCTTGTACCACTCTTGGTTGTAATTGGATGTTACTTTTATGAGCAAGCTTACCGTGGCATCTGGGAAACAACATGGATACAGGAACGCTGCAGAGAATATCATATTCCGTGTCCGTACCAGGTAAGGGAACCCTTGTTATAATTCTCAGAATGTATGATAGTTAAAGAAGTAATCTTATCTGTTGTTTTCTTTCCAATTCTTCATGAACTTTAAGCATGTACATTAAAGTTTTAAAGTGAAGATAATTGATAAGTATATTGCAGTAAATACACAATACACATATTTGTGTAGACATTCATTTTAAAAGATGATTTACATTTCCATACTATGAGCTTAAAGCCACTTATTTCCATTACTAAAAATATTTATTGATTCTTTGAAAGTCAAGGTTTATAGAGTAGGAAACTGTTCCGGCTCTGAGAGAACGGTCTTGTCTTCTGTGGAAATTTCACTGGTGGTCAGATTAGTAATTATTTGAATAGTTGTACAGAAATGGCAGAATTCAATTGCATAAACTCTCTTGGCATTATTTTTTCTTGTTTGTATGCAGAATATTTTGTGATGTACCTTTGAGTTTGAAGAGTCATAGAATCAGAATTTTAGATCTAGAAAGAAGCTTAGAGATTATTTATTTGAATTTTGTCCATAAGTTAAATTTTCATGCATCTGTTTTGTTTGAATATTTGAAATACTGAGTGACTTGCCCATGTTTAGTGTGTGACCTGCTGGTGTTTAGTCTTAGGAGAGTGACTAGGAACAGCTCAGAGGACCCCATCCTCTAGATGTACCTAATCTTACTTTTAAAAGGAGTTTTCTAATTTTTAAGGTTTGTTTATTTTATGTGTATTTGCCAGCATATATGAACATATACCACATGCATGCCTAGTGCCGGTGGAGTTCAGAAAAGGGTGTTGGATCCTCTGGAACTGGGGTTGTGGATGGTTGTGAGCCATCATGTAGGTGTTGGGAACCAAACCTGGATTCTCTCCAAGAGCAGTAAGTGTTCTTAACTGCTGAGCAGTCTCTCAGCCCCTCAAAAGGTGTTTTCTTAGAGTGTTCTGACATTGCATCTGTTCACTGTCTTCTAAGTGCACCAGTCATCTTACTGCTCCCTGACGTGTCTCAGACCTCTAAACACCATTGAAGCACTTACACCTCAGACTAAAGGGCTTGTGTTTGTGTATCTTTTCTTCCTACTAGACAGTGAACTCTTTGAGAGCAAGAACTTTTTCTTTTTTTTTTTATAATTTTTAAATTTTATTTTATGTGCATTGGTGTGAGGGTGTCAGATCTCCTGGAACCGGAGTTACAGACAGTTGTGAGCTGCCATGTGGGCACTGGGAATTAAACCTGGGTCTCCTGGAATAGCAGCCAGTGTTCTTAACCACTGAGCCATCTCTCCAGCCCCCAAGAACTTTTTCTTTTATTGAACATAGATTCTATTTTCACACAATACATCCTGATGATAGTTTCCCCTCCCTCTACTCTTCCCAATTCCTCCCCATCACCTCTTCCCTCTGGATCTACTCTTTTCTATCTCTCATTAGAAAAGAACAGGCTTCTAAGAGATAACAATCAAACATGACAAAATAAAATATAATAAGATAGAGTAAAAACTATCAAATTGACATGGAAATCTAACAGGAGGAAAAAGAGTCCCAAGAGCAGGTACAAGAGTCAGAGACCTACTTGTTCTCACATTGAGAAGTCCCATAAAATACTAATAGCTAATAGCTATAATATATATAGAGAAGATCTGGTGCAGACCCATGCAGGCCCTGTGCTTGCTGCTTCAGTCTCTGTGTGCTCATATACACTTTGCTTAGTTGCTCCAGAGGACCTTGTTTTCCTGGTGTCCTCCATCCCTTCTAGCTCTTGAGATCTTTCCACCTCCTTTTCTGTGATTCCTGCTGTGTGACTGGGGGGTAGGGGATTTGATGGAGACCTCCAGTTTAGACTTTCTTTCTACATAATGTCTGGCTCTGGGTCTCTGCATCTGTTCGCATCTGCTGCCAGTGAATACCTCGCTGATGATGACTGGATAAGGTACTGATCTATGAGGATAGCATAGTATCATTAGGAATTATTTTATTGATTCTTTTAGACTGATAGTGTTTGGTTTTACACTAGGTCTCTGGGCTGTCTAGTCTCTGACTCTTGGTTACCCAAGCACTGTTGGGTATGTGTTCCTTTTTATGGAATGGGCCTTAAGTCAAATCAGACATTGGTTTGGCTACTCCCACAAGTTCTGTCCTAGCATATTTTGCAGTCAATATAGACTGTAGGTCAAAGGTTTTGTGGCTGGGTCAGTGTCCATGTTTCTCTTTCAGTACTGCAGAGTACCTTCCCACACTAAAGAGACTAGAACATAGGGGTAAAGGCTCCATGTAGGCATCAGCTCAACTACTCCAGGTTCAATGAGTTGTGTGGGTGTTGTCCTCAGCAATGGGGCCCCACTGTCAATTTGTGGAGAGCAATCCTTTGTCTTAGCAACAGCCTGGGTTGTTTGGGGATTTTCATGGGACCCCCCCCCCCCTTGACCAACAAAGCATTCTTTAAATCAAGGACAGTGTACCATTGCCAATCAGCAGGTAGGGAGCTGAGCAAAGTATAAGGGTTTGGGACTGTTGAGTGGATGTCAGTCACCCTTTTATTGACCTCCCTCAGGTCTTAGAGTGGTCTGTAGTCATTAGTATGATGCTTCTTAACAGGCAGCAAGGGTGTGTTCCAGGCTGATTGCACAGACCGGAGAATTCCCACATCCAGCAGTCGCCTTATGTATGGAGTGATGCCCTTTTTGGCCTCTGAGGGCATAGGGTACTGGCAGACTTTTACTGGGTCTGCCCCTGACTTGATTTCCACAGACTGGGAGGCAATGTGCTGCCAGTCCCATTCCCCCAGTCTCAGCCCAGGCTGATGGAAACTCCTGGAGCCACTCCTCCAGTCAAGGGTCAGGTACAGGAGCCACTTGGTTTAATCTATATTCCTCAGTCATATCACTAGTTACCAACACATGAACAGGTTTTCCAATCTCATTGAGCAGTTTAGCTCCTTTCTCAGAAAAATGTATCTGAGCTTTCATTTCGGTCAGTAAGTCTCGCCCTAACGGGGTATGGACACTCTGGAATACCTGACCTGCTCCTAAGTCCACTGTTCTTCAAATAGTCCATGAATAGGGCCTAGTCCCTGTGGCCCCTTGGACCCAAGTTTGTTTGTTTGTCATGGGCCCATCTGCCTTTAATAACACTGAATTCTGAGTTCCTTTGTCCACCATGAAATCAGTCTTTTCCCCCTCCACTTTTAGGGTTACCCTAGGTTCGGGGAGGGTGGCCAAACCCCATCTTCCCTAATCACTGTCCATATCTCTCTGACGAAAGACTTTGGCATCACCTTTAGTTACTTTTTCAGGGCATTCTCTTGCCCATTGCCCTTCCTTTTTACAATAAGCACACTGATTCCTCTCCAGCCGGGGTCTTCCTTTACCTTTTGGCCTTTTTTCTTCTCCAGCCACTGGCTACAGCAGTTTTCTCTGGCATTCATCCAGACTGGCAGTAGCAGCTAGTAATACTTTAGCCAGATACTGGTTTTGTTGCTTTTCTTTTTTAAATCTCTTTCTCATCAGCACTTTCCCTTCCATTGTACACTTTCTCAGCCACTGTAACTAAGTCTCTAATGCTTTTTTCTCCTAGGCATTCTAACTTCTGTATTTTCCTTTTAATATCTGGGGCTGCCTGATTAATGAAAGCCAAAATCAAGGCAGCTGCATTTTCTTGTGACTCTGGATCATATGAGGTGTATCTCCTGAAAGCTTCCTGCAGTCACTCCAGGAATGCAGCTGGACTTTCATCCTGGCCCTATGTAACATCATAGACCTTACTCAAATTTGCAGGCCAAATGCAACCCTATCCTGCCACTAGAAGCCTTGTCTGCCTACAAGAGATGGCCAGTTGAGACTCCCCCATTATTAAGAGTCCTCATTGGAATCACCATCATAGATGCCAGAAAGTTTTCACTGCACTAGGTTTCCACAACACTCCCCAAATGCCCCCCAATTCCAGCTGTCTCTCCTTATACTCTCTCTATCCCATCTCCCCACCACCTGACCCTCCCCTCCCATTCTCTGCTCCCAGTCTGCTCATAAAATCTATTTTCCCCTCCCAGAGAGATCCATGTGTGTCCCCCTGTATCCCTCCTCTTTACTTAACCTCTATGGGTTTATGGATTGTAGCTTGGTTGTCATTTACTTAATAGCTAATAACCACTTATAAGTGAATACATACCATATTTGTCTTTCTGGGTCTGGGTTACCTCACATAGAATGGTTCTTTTCTAGTTCCATCCATTTGCATGCAAATTTCATGATGTCAGTTTTTTAACAGCTTAGTAATACTCCATGGTGTAAATGTACTACATTTTCTTTATCCATTCTTTTGTTGAGGGACATCTAGGTTGTTTCTAGTTTTTGGCTATTATGAATAAAGCCGCAGTGAACATGGTTGAGCAAGTGTCCTTGTGGTAGGATGGACTGTCCTTTGGATATATGCCCAAGAGTGGTATAGCTGGGTCTTGAGGTAGATTGATTCCCAATTTTCTGAGGAACCACCATATTGGTTTGCATAGTGGCTGTACAAGTTTGCACTCCCACCAGCAGTGGAGAAATGTTCCCCTTGCTCCATATCCTCACCAGCATGAGCTATCACTGTGTTGCTGTTCTTAGTCATTCTGACAGGTATAAGATGGAATCTCAAGTAGTTTTGATTTGCATTTCTCTGATGGCTAAGGATGTTGAACATTTCTTTAAGTGTTTTTCAGCTGTTTGAGATTCCTCTATTGAGAATTCTCTGTTCAGATTTGCACCCCATTTTTTAATTGAGTTATTTGGTTTTTTGATGCCTAGTTTCTTGAGTTCTTTATGTATTTTGGATATTAGCTGTTGGATGTGGAGTTGGTAAAAAATTTTTCCCATTCTGTAAGCTGCTGCTTTGTCCCATTGATAGTGTATTTTGTCTTACCAAAACTTTATAGTTTCATGAGGTCCCATTTATTAATTGTTGACCTTAGTGCTTGCGCTAATGATGTTCTGTTCAACAAGTCCTCTCCAGTGCCAATGAGTTCAAGGA